CTAGAAAATTACTTCACAATATAATTCACAGACGGTTCGGTAAATTCTGTGACATCCAGCTTTTCGCTAGTCAATTATACCGAGATGCTCCTAGGCAAATTTCAGTCTTAAAAAAAATATCTTCCACTTTTATTGAGCTCCTTCCTGTCAGACAGGCGGCTAAGTCCAACAAAATAAAAAAATTCGTTATCTTCTCTGATAGCAAATAGGCGTCGATGTTAATCAAAAGCAAAGATACGTACAACATGTGTGTTTTTGAAATCTGTGGTATTTTAAACGATCCTCTCCTTGAGAAATGCCACTTGAACTGGGTACCAGGCTATTGCCTTTTCAGTTTGAATCAAATGGCTGATATGCGCTTGAGGCTCAATTTGATGGTACAGTTATTTCCATCAATTATCCTCCCAGCGATGCTCTCTGTCTAATTCGGAAACACACCATTCAAGAATGGAAGGATGAATCGCTTGATTTCAAGCAAATCGTAATAAATCCTAATTTTAGGTCAACTGCTACGACGCTCTCTTTTAGGAAATTGCCAGCGTGCCAACTTCCAATACTAAGTTGATAAAACCGCGATAGCTTTAGCGACTGCTCACGAACTTGGTAATGAACTACATTTCTGTCCTGTTCTATTACTTGGGCTCCGAAGTGTTTAGCAATGAAATTAAGAAGAAGAAATAAGAAACTAAAGAAGTTTACGAAGGTGAGATGACTGAATTAACACTGATTGAAACTGAAATCCGGTAAGCGGATGTGAAAAAACCGTCCGTAATGCAACTATTGGATTAAAACCAGCAAAAGGAACAAAAGAGCTTAAACTAGATCTGAATAGCAAAAAGGGCACAATTGTAACAACTTGGATGTAGATTTTGCTTAAAAGGGTTTTTACACATAATTGCACAGCGGTCTTCGGCTATGACATCGTCCTTTCAATTAAGGAAGTAGAGACACCTCTTATATTTTGCTGGACATTGAGATAATAGTGAAAAAACGGTTTATATTCCATGATGGGGTCATACACAATGTTCAACAATATTAAGACACTTCCTACACATTGTGTCATGGGTTTCTCGTGGATTACTGCCTTGATGGCTTAACCACACTGTGGCCCAAGCCACGCGGATTATTTAAGCGCAATCTACGCCCCCTGGCGAGTTAGACAATCCCTATAAACTAGGGGCCTAAACAGCGCCAGAGTCCAGATTGTTTATTGCGTCTGGTTCAATAAACCCACTCTGGTCAGTGTTGAGGCCTATCCGCACCTCGATTTGTTCCACTTTGGCATGGAACGTTTGAAAACCACAATCACCACGAGTACTCTCCGCACCCAAGCAGTCAGGGCTCACAAATTGATCAACTTTATGCGTTCAAAACGAGAAAGAAAAATGCGTTTGCTTCCACCATAAGGTTTCCACAAGCGCAGTTGATCAATTACCACCACCATTACCCGCAGGCATCCGTGCATATATAATATAAAAAGTGTGAACATGGGCGGGCGGACCATGCACTCACTAACTACTACCTCTACGTATTTTTACGTAACCAGTTACCAGCTGGTTTTTGGATAGAATTTCCTTGGTAGTAATTAGCTTGAAACTTTTTAAACTTTTATAATAGCCTTAATATCGATACCTCCAATATGGCAATATAATCGTCGTGTTTCTACCGTTTACCTTGGGTGCGCGTTTGCGATGGCGACCTTTGTTCTTGCTCAACAGAAACAGAGGGTCGTCTTATAAAATACGCAATTTCCATTGAAAACGTATATAGGTCACAGCGAAAGAGTTTTTAAAATTATTGCACAAGTCAAGGCAAAAGTGTTGTTCGCGAGAATGACAGTCGCAGACATCAACACCTTTTGTAACATAGCGATGGCCAAAAACTAAAATTAAATTTCCGCTTCCCGCTAACAGCAAATTTTCTTTCTTTTTTTTTATTTTTTTTAAGCTTTATTAAAGCGAAAGTTGAGCGACGTACCGTCGCAGAAAATGAATTAGAGACGAGAGACAGAGTTGACAAAAAAGGAAACGTTAGGTCCGCATTTGTCAACTAACCACCGGGAGTCATTTATCTGCGTACGACAACAAAAAGAGAAAGCTGCTTCTAATTTTTAACTTTTTCTTCGCTTTAAGTTTAAAATTTTGTACTTTTTTCTATATCTGTGTATATATGTAGTGAATGTAATTTTATTTTTTTACTTCTCTAACGAAAGTAGCAGAGGTTGAATGCAATTTGTTCATAAAAAGGTACGTATTTGTATGCTCTTGTGCACTTAGGAAAGCGCACAGACTAATGCAACAATTTAACTGGTTAAGCGTTAGCCTTTGATACTTTTCAAGCTAACACACTGACATCCTCTCTAGCTCTAATAAAAGTTTTGCTTGCAACTAAAATGAGAAGAAAAAAGGGGAAAAAGGGCAGAAACACAAAATACAATAGGAGTGAGACTCGGTTAGCGTAGTCTATTGTAGAATTTCTTTTTATTATTTCGGCGCATTTTTTTTTTAATATTTTTATTCTTGAATTTATATCTGAGGGAATGAATTGTTCTTAAAATTCGTGAGCTTACTATAGTTCACATTTGACTTTGTCCTTTATTCGTTTATTTTTTTTTGCTCTTCTGGTTATCATATGTTCTGAATTTATCTGATATGGATTTAAATTTGGTGGTATAGAGTCTTGCATTTATTAGCAGATACGTCTGCTTGTTCATGCAGATATATTTGTGCGATCGTTTCAATTGTCTATTTAAGCTTGCACAAATTGAAAAATTTTATAGCATTGCATTAAACAATTTAATTTAAGAGTGCCTTACTTCGCAGGATCCGGTTCTAAAAAATTATATTCTAGCATTTCGACCATGAAAGTACTTAATCCTTTAATAATATTATCGCAGGCACCTACGTGGCCCAGTCCATCCAGAATCCACTATTGATATAGAAACTTCTGAACATAAAACAAAGCTAGCAAAAAAGGTCTATTCCTCTTCTATCGTACATATCTATAATTCAATTATTGTACTATTTTGATTATGATTATATTATTGAAATGTTCTGTTATTTCGTTCTTCTATAAATTCTGCTACTCTTCTATCCCTTTATTTTGTTATTTCAAGAAGCACGTCCAAGTTAGCCATTCTTAACCATCTCAAAATTTGCAGATATCACAGCAGCGATCCTTATGTATTTGTATATATTTTTTATGTGTTTACGTATTACGTATGTATGTTATGTATAAACGGGACTTATATTTATTTTTTATTATTATTGTAAACACTATTACCATAGTTTTAAATTAAGTTTATAACAGTGTTGGCCTACAGGGAAGCCAGCCATTCAAAACAATTGGCAATGCGCCTGTCACGGCATCTGAAGGGTGAAAAGAAATTTTTCACCCTTGAGAAATTAATTACCTTTTCATACATGTTTTGCAAATATCAAAAACAATTAACGATTGACTTTCCATGCCTAAATGGGATAAGAAGAAAAGTGGAACCCTAAGAAGTTGAAGGCATTCCAGCTGTTTCGAAATAAGTAAACTAAGAAATTTTACATGGTATCGTGGCGGGCGGTGAAAAATTGATACAGTGTGACATCGAAAAGGAAATTCATTCTATTGATATCGACGCAACCTTTATATCTTCACTCTAAAATGGCCAAATTAGCATTGGTTATTATATAAACGATTTCCCGTAAATGATATGGTGCACCAAAATGGATGAAACGTTGCTTAGATACTCTTACATGAGAAAATGCTCCTAAACGGACTTATGTGATTCACACATATAGCAACAAGTCTACATGCCAAACCCCTAGTTTAAAAAAAAAATTCTACAACTGTGAAAATTCGAAGTTGTTATCATATAAAGGCTTATTTTTTGGAAGAATATGTACTTAGAAAATGGTTCCATTCTATCTAAATTTTCAATATGTGTGCCATTTTTATGCTCAAATCCTATTTTTGCCGATTTTTGTCGAAAGTGTTACATATGGTTAAATTCTTCCAAACCATTCGATTTGCACTAACATTCATCCTTGGGCGAAACTTTGCCCATTGCACGAAATTTTGTCAAAATATCTCAAAGATTGCGGCCAAAATACATAAACAAACATCAGACAGGCAAAAAGACGCCCTTAAAATGCTACATGGCCAATCGATGTAGTAAAAAGTGGATCTTGCCTGTGGTTTTACATCACCACAGTCTCATTTCAACGCTAAAAGTTGTTTGAAACGGCAAGGAAGTAAACAAGTTGTGTTTGTAATAACCTCACATACAGAATGTTAAGTCTACAACGATTTTATTTCTATACCCTAATCTGGCTCCTTTTTATATTGAACTTATCTGACGTTAATTAAATTGTTCTTATTTACCTAGTCAATGCTCTAATCATAATATTAACGTTAGTGAATAAACGCCTAAGTACTTGACTTTATATTCGGCATTTACGAAGGTCTGCCGCAAATTGAATGTTATGAACCTTAAAAACAATTTAAATCTAAATGTCGACTACTGAAAGAATATAAAGCATCGAGCATTCAGAACGATGCTCTTCGATTTGCGAACGGCTATGAAAATTTCCAACCCTTGCGAGGTGTGGCCATCTCTAATCGTTATTACCGTTTATTGAAATGTACATTAATACTTTTGAAGAAGCAAAGGATCGGCCGAAATCTCTTACTAAGCGAAAAACATCCGAATTCATAACAGAAGCAAAAATATGAAAGAGCTCTCTCACTCTTTCACTGTAAGGTGCTATCGAATTTGTCGTAGTTTTCAATTTTCATCCCAAAATCCTTTTCCTATTATTCCCTCGAAATAAAGCACAGTTGGTTAATGCCGAATCTGAGAGCTAGCATATTGGAATTAGAATTAAGAGACACGTTTCCTTTCCCAAATACTATTCAGACTTCAATTTGAAATTCTACAAATTCGTAATATTTATGAACGGTTTTCTTAATGCCTTCTAACTTTTTTTTTCTTAGTTTTGTATTTTAAATTATGCTGATTCTTTGCTTTCACATTAAATAGATAGCTCATCGCAATCATTAAGATTCGATGATTCTTCCTGATCCGATACAACAGCACTGCTAGTGCTGAGCTCTAAATGTCGTTCCCTAACTTGGCTATTACCAGACGATAATGCACTGCCACTCATTGAAAACGATGTTGAAACTGAATGCTCCTGACAATCATCACCTTGTCGCACGGATACAGGACCCCTTTGCTCATGAAAATCCTCGTTACCTGTCTCCGATTGTTGCATTGTCGCGGAGTCGTATTGTTTAGGATCTTTATAAATAGAAAAACTGTTATTATCAAACGTAGGAGAAGTTGTCGAAGGCTGAGCGGGTTGCAAGTCTTCTTGTTGATTCCACCAATCCGGAGTCCAATCCAAAGAGTGATGAACTTGAGCTTGGACAAAAATTCTTTCCCTTACTCCCGAACTGCAACAATAGAAGACGTGTTATATAGCAATGCAAACCATTTCTTCAAAGTAAAATTCTACTTATCGGCGCTTTCACTTCCACTACTTTGTGCACTGTTATCCTTTAGCATTGTAGAGTTAAAAACGCCATCACTACGCTTGGACATAAACTCCGTTTCACCTTCCTGAAAACAATTATTATAAGGAAAATATTCGATAGTTTTTCTTTCATTCTCAATAAGTACAGGCGCAGCATTGTCATCCGTGTCTATATTGTCGACCGATTGTTGCAAAGCACTTAAAATTTCTCTCATTTCTAGCAACTCCATATTCTCTTCATGCAGACCAAGGCCTTTGTAAGAAGTTTGATCACATTTTAAATTTCTAATTTTTCTATAAAATTTCTTTAAAGTAACCTTCGAGAATGGCCGCCAAGTCCTCGTAATCGCTATTATGGCGTGTACTACGTAGCTCCATTCCTCGTATTTAACGCGCTAACCTCTTCATAAATGATTTATCTTATTCATGATATTGTTATTGTTTTTGACATATAACGGAAAATCTCAATGTCTAAATTAATAAAAAAGAAGAAGAACTAGAGCCATAACCCAGCAAACAATATTAATATTATTATTATTATAAATTTAGCCAGAGAATAAATTCTAAGACTAAAGTCTTAAAGCACTAGCATCTAAGGCTTTCGGCTTTATTAAAAACTCTACCGCACTTGAGATCTAAACCCACGGCCATTCAGTTGCTAGCCGAGACTCTTATCTATTCGGCCACTCAGACGGATAGCAAACAATATTACAGATATTTGTAATGAAAAATGAATTAAATGCCGAACAAAAAATTTTAAATAATTTTCTTAGATAAAAAATTACTTAAAAAACTTTCAATCCGTACTAAATAGTTTTGAAAAATTATTGAAAAAGTAAAAAAGTCCCTATTTTAGGAAAACAACCAATCGATAAAGAATATGGTCACCTCGTTAGTTTACGGGGCCGCAAATAACGAATACATAAAAAATCATGATCGCAAATCATACTTGAGGGTTCAAAATTAGAATATCATCATCATTAACAATGGTTTGAGAAGCAAATCTGAAGAATTTGAGACAAATATAAACGAACGACACAGGGTCTAAAACTTAATATTAAAAAATCCTCAAATATATTGCATAAATCAAATTTTCAATCGCAGTATACAAAAGAGATTCAAACAATAAAGTGCAAATATTGCATTAAAACGCAGTGAGTCATCCGGTATTAACTTACTGAACATTCAACAGAAAAGAAGACAACGAAAATTATTTGTATTGAAATAAATCTTCTCTGCTCTTCTTCTTACTTTTTCGTTTGATAAGCCTGATAAGCAAACGGTGTTATTTACAAATATATACACAAATATCTAAACAAATAAGCGAGTAAAGGATTTACGCGTTATTTGAGGTTTGCAGATTTGAATACTTCATTGGCGCCGGGAGAGTTTTCATTCAAGAATATAATTTTATGAGGCCCCCACTTCAAACGGTATTTATTCTTTCCTGGAAAATGATTTCGCAAAAAAAGAGATTTATTTGAATATTTAGCTAAGCGAAAAATCGAAAAAGATATTTTGTAAAATGGTGGCGGACGCATGAACAATAAAAGTGACAGAGTTTACTAGTGTCAACAAATAAACATAAGTTCATTTAGGTTTATTAACCAACAACCTAAACTAATCGTCAACATTATAAAGCCCAGGGAAAGAACTTTATGTTCACACTGAGCCTTCGTTTTTAGAACGCGACGAATCATCTTCTGGAGAAGAGGATGAAGCACATTGCAGCAGATATATAAGAGCCACTCTTGAAATCAGCGAGACTTACGCTTGAGATCGTTGTCTTGGGAGAATTTGAATATTTCCAAACTACCAAGTTATCCGCTCTTTCTTTCAAATTTTCCTTCAATATTACATTTTATATTAAATTTTATCCTTCCTTAAAACACTTTCCGTGTTTACAAAGCCATCCGTAAACACCAATTGGGGGACTCCATTGGTCCAATCCATACCAAATATGGCCGTTGTCATGCTCGCCATAAGCCGCTGGGCATATGTCCAGGACGTAATAGGCAGCTAAGACAGGGAAGACAGGTTTCTAAGCTCATTTTTTCCTTTTGTTGAGCGAAAAAACCCAATATTAATGGGACTCACTCTACACAAGAAGGAAATTAAAAAAAAACCTTTTTAATATCAGCATGTCAACAACAGAAGATGATCAATAGACTATGAGAAGAATGAAGTAAGATCCCTGTTTTGTACACAAAAAATAGTATGAAATATGTCAAAACTTTTAAATGACGTTATTAAGCAAATAGGAGACCTCACCGAAAATTAATCTTTAATAATATGCTGCTTTTTATCCTCGTATCCTTCCTTATATGAAAAAGAAAAATCCAGTATTAACGGCCCTATGTTTTTGAAGTTGGTAAAGTTATTTAATTTTCTTGTCTACTGGAATAATGTTTGGTTTGTCGTTCTTTTTTTTATATTTATTTATAGTATTCCCTAGTAGTACAAAATAGTGAAATAAATTTTTATGTTTGGACAATGGAATATGTTTAACAAGCTTCTACTCTCTCTCATTCTTGCTTTGTGGAAGCGTTTGCGACGTCCAAGAAGTCTGATCAGTATCAAATTCTTAACCCGTTAAACATGTCCTTCGTCACTCTGCCTCTTCAAATTTCGCAAAACTCTTCAAATAATTCGAGTCGTCGACATATCACTTTTATCTTTGCACAAGTTTTACAATAAAGGTACTTAGGATACATAAACTCAGCATGACTACTCAGCATGATAATGAATTCATGCAATTTCATTCAAATATATTTAATTTTATTTAAAAAAAACTTTATTTTAATTATTTTCAATATTTTAGGTAAATCATCAAAGGGTAAAACATTTACAATTGTGACCGTGTATGGAACTGCACATCTTAAATAAGGATTTTTGCAATAATTTTTTAAAAAAAGTGAAACTATGCTTGTGTTGGATTTTTTTTTTTTTTTTGGACAAAATATTAAATGTCAAAATAATGAAAATTCCCACTTAAAACTAAAAAGTAAAAAAAAAAAAAAAAATTTGCGCATATAAATATTGGTGTAAATTATTTTATATATTTTTTTTTTTTAATTAATAAGTTTGTTACTTTAATTATTAGTCGAAGTGGAAAAAAATGAAAATCATAATTAAAAATTTATTATTCAGATAATGTGAAGAAAGTATATTCGTGGAACAATTAATAGCCGATACGAGACCGCGTAGACTTCGTGCGCTCATCACGGGAACTGCGCTCACGTTCAAATTTCTCATGTGATCTTTCGCGCGCATCACGTATATGAGGGGATTTTTCCTGTATAAAAATGTTTGGAGAATTTCCAAATATTCGCATATTCAAATAATCTTACCCTTTGGTGGTATTTGTCACGTTCACTTCGCATTTCATCATCACCATTTTGTACTAAAATGTAAAATAATTCGTCTTTTTTTTTTTTTTAGATATAATTTCGAGTATAATTACTATTTCTGCGCTTAGAAGTAGAAGTAGAAGTTTCCTCCAAACGCTCCCTTTTACGCCCCAATCTGCGCTCTTTGCGCGCGTCTTTCTCCTCCTCTGTCATCTTTTCTTTACGCTCTTTCGTTTTTAGACTTCGTTCCTTCTTCGTCGGCTCACTGTGATCATCCACTAATTGCTGTTGCTGTTGTTGTTGCTTCTGGAATTATATATTTGAAGAGAAGGTTTGGAAGCACAAATGAAATTGGTCTAATTTGTTTGAAAAAAGCGTTAAAACATATAATTTAGATTCCTTAACTAAATTAATCTATTGATGCCTTTCTCTCTCTTACTTAGGCCTTTTTCATTTCTAACTCATTAGCTAGTCGCTCCCTTTCTATTTTTGCCACTTACCGCTCACCATTACAAGTTTAAGCTGTTTTTTGTGACCAACGTTTCAACAACACAAGCAGCACAATCTTGTCTTCTTTTGGCGTATACACAAAGGCAAGCAAGCAAGCACGCACTCACTCTCTTTCTTTCTCTCTCTCTTTCTCTTCACTCTTTGACACTTATTTATTATCACTGATTTCATTTGTGGGCTTTTATGAAGATGATGCAAGGTCCTTTATAATTAAGACTAATCACTACAGTAGATATCTTGGGCTACAGTTTTTTTCAATCAGACATTCTCGACATAGGACAATGAAGACGTTGATGATACAGGCCGCATGATTTCCTCCGTAGTAGTATTAGAACTTTTTTTTGCAACGTGTTATAAGTGATGGTAACTTTAGCAATTGTAGTAGAAATGTTGATTTTCTCTGATGATAACAACACATCTACCAAGTCTTAAAAGACGAGAAGTTGCTTGAAAATCCTTTAGACTTTGATGTTTCAGATGTTCTGCGTTCGGATTGCTGCTACTTTAAGGAAACCATTAATCGATAAAATCTTCCCTTGTGGCAAAGATGTACAAATCTCTGAGCAGAAGGACTTTTTAATGCCATCCGCCGTGGTGTCCTCTCAGTTCTTCTTTTTTATTATTTTCGAGAAAATCCTTAATTTTTGGCCGCATTACGATTCGTTTGGGATTAGTAAAGTTCGTATATCTTTTCGTGCATACAACTCGCATTGGGTTATACTTAAATCTCTTTCCCACAAAGCCGCCTTCAAAACAATTAAAGCCGTGATTAACTGTTGAATTAGTTTTGTTTCCTTTCGTCTTTTACCTTCCAAAGAATTTCGCAAGCAAATTGATTGACTTAGGAAAGCGATGAACGAACGAATGCGAAAGAGGATTAGACTAAGTGTTGCTGAAGATTTTCGACAAATATTTTCAAATGCTGTTGCACCAGTTGTAGCGGGTTTTAAAACAAAATCTCCGATGTAGGTCACACAAAGTTGGCATCCACTCGGCAGATGAAGTTTACGAAATCTTTGATGTTTTATTATTTAGAACCTTATTTCGGTACGGATTGACTTCTTTTGCTGATCGTTCTGATGAATTTTTTGATGTAGTTGTGACTATGAAATTTGGGATTTCTGAATTCCTTTTTGAAGGGTTGTTGATTAGACACGATTGTTAATAGCTTCAGGCTTGGCTTCTCGTGGTCGCTAATATACGTCCTTTGTTTTCCCGGCTTCTTTTATAATAGTGTAATTATGCTCTTCCGATAAGTTGGATATCACAGGTATTATGCAAAGCAGTTTCCTCGCGAAGCAATACGTACTTAATATTAAACTTAATTGATAAACCTTACTTTTCAACTATTGTTTTTGTATCTTTACGTAAAAAAGTTAATTGACTAACTAAAATTGTTAAAGGTCATTTCAAGTAACAACGATAATAAAAGATTTTTTGAATAAACCCTATAGACATCGATTACCATTAGCAGTAATACATACTCACCCCTTATTACATAATGATATATATAGGAGGGATATATAATTATTCTAAAATTAATTAAAATTAGATATTAGAAATTGACACTTTATACATTAGTTATTGTTCTTGTTGAAATATTTTGCTACTGGACCAGCCAATGTTTACTTAATCGACAATAAACCCTGAGTTGGAAACAATCAAAACAAACGATTTTCAGACTTGAGCTTGGTGAAAGGTGAAGTTGAGAGACGTTCCACGCACAGCAGAAGAAAAGCCAAACATTTGCTGCTTGTTGTTATGATTATAAAAATTGCTTTCACTGATGTGACACCAGAAGGATAGTTGTGATCTTTTTTATTATTGCTGTTAATGTTGGTGTTGCAGCTGTTTCTCCTATACTCACTCACATACAGAGACAAGGAATCTACGATAGCACCATGATACTAACCTTTGAATTTGAAGACGTTGATGAGGTATCCAGTTTACGACGTTTAGAGTCGACTGTAAAAAGCATTATGCATAAATTAAGGAATTCTAATTTTTTTTTCCTACGCTTTTATCATCGTTTCCTACCTTTATCATATTCTATCATATCCTGACTGCGTCTCTGCTGCTGCAAAGATCCATTACTCTCATTTGATACTGAACTTAAATCACGATCACGATCTCTTACAGTACGTTCATTGCGTTCATAATCACGTTCCCGCTCGCGTTCCCGTTCTCTGTCACCGTATTCATGTTTAACTGCGCCTACATCTAATGCGTCCAGCGGCGTGGGCGACTCATTGCGATAGCGGTCTTCACGACGTTTCTCTCGTTTCGACCGAATTGCAGCTGATCCTTCCACATCTTCATTAATTTGACTACGTAAGTCACGTTCCCTTTCTCTTTCGTTACGTTCACTGCGTTCGCGTTCACGATCACGTATACGCTCTTCCTTCTTGATTCCATGTTCTTTTAAAGAGCGTGTGCTACTTAGACGATCATGATCTCTATCATTAATCGTAGTTAATAAGGATGAGTTGACTGAACTAGCAGTTGTTAACGCGAAGTCATCCTTTATCTCTATAACCGTAATATTGCGATTAGCGGTCGAGTTCTCCCGTTCACGGTCGGAGGAATTGTTAGCATTTAATTTTATGATCTTCGAAGGCCTTTCCGAGCGGTCTTTTTCACGCTTTTCTGAAATATAAAAGTTTGGTTGTCAATTTCTTGTCGTCTAGAGATTATTAAAGCGAATTTTAAACACCTGATTTCATTTCACCGTTATTAACAATGGCTTTGCTGAGGGCTTCATTGCTAGTTATTGTCGCAACACTCGGCGTATTACTGCTCGAGTTAATAAGACTGTTACCAGCCAATAAGCTGATACTGCTACCACTCGACGTCATTGATGAATTTATATTGGCAACTATTGTTGTATTGCCGCCACTGGCTGCGGCATTTCCTGTTTCTACTCGCAAAGGTCGCTCTGAAACTTGATGGAAATCGCTCTCCTTGATCATTTGTGCAGCCTTAGTTTTAAGCTGTCCTATATAACTAGAAGCTATTACAAATAGATCCGGTCTTTTGTTCTTTTCCTCTTCGCGCACCTTCTCCACCTTACGTTCAATGATTTGAGCAAGCTTGGCCAGAACAGGATAATGAGGCAAAATGCGCATTAATATAATGAGGGCGTTACGTATTTGCATGTATTCCTTAGAATCTAAACAGAATACAATTGCCTTGGTGATTTTGTAATGCCATTTGTGACAGACATGTCGGTAGTTCTCATAGCCAACATGATCATTTGCTTCTGAAAACTGATTGCTAACTCGAAACTTGGTAACAAAGCCCGGGTAATTTGCGCACTCTTTATTAAAGGTGGCCTGATCCGAATGCCAACGCATTACGGTTTCCAGCATAGCACATAAAAAGCGACCGTAACGTGTCGCCTCATTCTCCGTACAAGAAGTCACCGAATAAGTTATGTCACAAAAGATCTGAATTAGAAAATGAATATAAAAATATTTGCCACACTTTTCATCGCACAAAAATATCTTACTCGATCGTAGCAAAGCAAAGTTGAAAAGTTAACAGCCTTTAAATTGTGTATAGTGTGTACAAATTTTGCGCAATATAAAGCATCCAGGGCAGTGAAAGTACACCTGAATAGAAAGTAAGGAAATAAAAATTAAAAATTTCCTTTCGAATTCCAATTACACTCACCTGGGAAACAAACATAATTGCAAAAATTGGGTAATGGTCTCATTTTTTGCTGACTTAGCCGAACGTGATAAAAACCAATTATCCTTTTGTTGCTGCAATCGTTGCAAGATTTTATCAACATGTTCCTGCTGCTTCTTACGCTCATCTTGCAGTTTGTCCATTAAGGCCATATAACGTTCTTGCTCTTTTTTGTTCTTGGAGGCATTCTGAAAATGTTTTCATTATTTAAAATTTAATTTTAATTAAAAAAGGCCAATTATTATACCGAGTCCTTGGAATCAGCTGCTTGTTGTGATAACAATTTCAATTTGGATATTTCTCGCTGATAACTATCCGACGGTACTTGCAGGTCGTACATGCTTAAAGACCAGAATGTAACGAAAAAATGTGGCGATATATCTTCCCAAACTTTCAGTCCATGTAAAGGACGAACTGACTCAACAATCGGATTCATTATTAAATTAGTAGCGTCCAAATATTTTTGTAATTTCTGATTGTTATTCAACTTTTTAGCATTTGGATCTGCTTTACGCAACTGATCGTACTTTTGCTGGAGTTAAAAGAAATTTTATTGGAATTGCTACCTTCATGTTTATTGAATAAAATAACTTACATTGATTTGATGTGTAAACATAGGTCTGGCCAGAAAAAATGCTACATCGGCATTAATGTGATAATCTTGTAACATTGTAATAATGGAAGGTAAACGTTCTACATACTCATCAACCGAATAAGTGGATCCAAGGAATGTGCCAAACTGTACTAATGTGTCTTGACATTGATCGTATAGTTTGCCTACCAATTTCAAATGGCTTTGTGCCGTTTCCCGATATATAACACAATGCTTTTGTTGAGCCATTAACAAGCAAATAGTGACAGCCAGATCATTGCTTGCCAAAGCGTCTTTTAAACGTTGTGACGATTTTTTGGTGTTTCGTACCTGACTAAAGTAGCCAGCCTAAAAATGAAAAAACGGCAAACTTTAATATTTAGAATACATTTTCTTAAATTCAAAATGTGCTTCAGAAGCAAAACGAAAATTGAAGATTTTTATGTCGCAGTTTTTTCGACACTGGCGCTTGCGTAAGGCCCCACAACAATGATAATTGTTGTTATAAAGCTGATCATTTTCACTCAAATGCAAGTGTTAAAGTGAAATAATGTTACTTTCCTGGTGATAGACGTATCTTCACAAAGGCACGCAATTTAGTTCTCAAAATTCGAATAACATAAGTTTTATTTCCAAGACTCTTCTTGATTCTTACCTCCCCTCGCAACAATTCACCGCCGCACATGGCATTCAATTGTTCGTTCGTCATTTCCTCGGCCGATTCCACACCTGCCATTTTTTGTACAATTTCTTTAAGTATTAGCAGATCCAAACTAATATAAAGAAGAAATATTTAGACTAATTTTCTTTCTTAAAACAGCGATATATGTATTACCTTTTTTGTGATTTTAGTTGGTTAGCAACATATTGTAACAGACCACTCAGTTCAATGTTATATTTTTTGAAAATGGCACCACAAAACGAAGCCAAACTTTGTAACCACAACGATATGGACGTACCGTCATGTTTGAAACGATCTCTATCAGCCATAGTTAACGCCTCTATCAAGCAATAGCCCAAGCAATCGAAAGACAATAAGGTTAAATATTTCAACGAATCAACAACGGGCCCAATTAAATTGTCATAAATTTGAATTTGTAGCAAAATCTACGAAGGTAAATCAATATAAATCAAATCTTTACAAATGAATGCGTATGAATTTACGTAATCAAACAAGAAGCCGGGGGCACAATGACTTAATTTGCCGATTTGACGGCCCAACGGTTTGACATTCTCTTTGCTGACGCGCTTCATAATGGCTTTAATATGTTTTTGAGCATTTCCACGGCGACGTATTAGCTGAGGATGCAGCAAATAAGTGTCATTCTTCCAGCGGGCGTACAAACCATAACTGAGAGTTACAAAAAAGATTTACATCAAGAAATTTTTGTTTGTAATTTTCTCTCTCACCGGTAATGATAAGGAAAATATTTCAAAACCGTCCAAATTTCTTCAGCCATGGGGCAATTACAATCCAGATATGATAAGGCTGGTAATATGGCGGCATCCATTATGGTCATTACTTCGTTATATAGACTCTCTGCCTCCGTATGGGAAGTTGGCAAATTTTGATTATCAACACCCATCTCAGTGATGATAGCACGCAGAATTCGCAACAATTTATACATTAAAACCGTGTCATAATGTAATGACGGGCCTAAAGCAACACACATGGGCAGCACATACTTTCTTAACTCAACAAATTCTTTTGCTTGTATTCTTTGCACTAGTTTCAAGTCTTCGCATAGACGCCTCTTCTGCAACTTAGCAGTTGGAGAAATCTTAAAGCATTTCACGCGATATATATGCTCAATGGCAATATGTATAAGCTCGGCCAAGGCGCGAGCTATAGGTTCATGAACAGCGACACATTGCTCCGGTAATTTTTTAATAATTTTCAAAGCATTGTCCCAATCTCCAACTTTAAGTAAGCCTTCGCATAAACCAAATTTTTGGTTGACATAGTATTTCTCCTAAGATGACAATTAAGATAATTAAGATAATAACACAAAGTATAAAATAACTAAAAGTTATCAAAGAAAAAATTTTTGTGCTTACACTATTGTATTCTTTCTCAGGTTCTGGTTCAGTGATTTCTTTGTCCTTATTAGTTACAATAACGTTTAGTTTGCGAACAAATTCCTTGGCTTCCAATAAATCTTGCTCCCAATCGCTTATTATATCTTTATCGGTGGGTGTTAACTAAAAAACGCAAGAATGGTTTGCTTCATATACAAAAATAAGGTCATTATAACCCAGATTTACCCATATATAGATGTCATTCAAATCTATTACACCATATTTTAATAACAACGAGCAAACATGAAATAAAGAACGCGGCGTTTTACCCTCAGAAAAATGACGAAATTTGTAGCCCAACACCTCACAAATAATGGAACCATTAGGCATATAGGCTCTTAGCAAGGGGATAAACAATTGCCAACGTTCTGGTCGAGACTCGAAGGACTCTAGAATAATATCCAATACCCGATTGGGATCCAAATTGAAGCAACCTTCAATAAATAAATATCTTAAAAGGCCTTCCATGCATTAACAAAGGATTTGGTAAAGCTTACCGATCAATGATTTTATAATATCCATAATGCTTTCGGAAGTAACATCTTCCTCAAATTCTTGATTCAATTCAGTTACTAATTTAGCATAACCCTCGCTTTCTTCGCGAAATAGATTAAATCGTCGTTGTTTATAACTGGAATAAAGAAAAAGATAAAGGCTAAAAATACGTTCCTGTAGAAATTAAGTAAAAAAGGTACTTACTAGAGTTTGGTTTTGATCTTAATAAACTTCGTGTAGAAAACTTTATTCTTGACTATGCCTACTTCCTGCAACGTATCAATCTCTAAACGTTCTTTAATTAATTTATCTGATATAACTTTATCCAATTCCTTCAGCATCTGGCAAAACATTAAACGTTCCTCTTGTATACCCTCTGTCATTAGCGATGTCTCTGCATCTAAAACATTTACCACATCCAAAATCAAGGAAGGAAAGTCGTCATGCAGGGCCTAAGTAAGAAATGTACGTTCGTATGGGTCTACACTTTTTTAAATGTCTTATGTACACATACCACCACATCTCCTAAGGTATTCAAAACGGTGTCCTTTTTCAATGTGCACCGTAAACCCTGCCATAGAAGATCGTAGATGGCATTAGCAATTCCGAACTTGAATTCATTCTGTTTGCCCATATATGGACAGTCGTTGTCCCGCATTTGTTGCTTTAAGTATTTCAAACTAAAACGAAATTATTTAGAATTAAGCGTTTATGAGATGAGTTGCTGCTCTGTCGACCAGATTTTTTTTTCTTATTTTCTTATAGATAATTTATTTATTTTATTCTAAATAGAGGTATTAAGATATGTATAGAGAGAGTGAGACGCCAACAATACAACAATCCGTACAATTCACTTTTTCCCGATTTCTCGAAATGCTTAAACACCTCACTGCTGAGAGCGCCGCCACTGAAGCCTTTGTTGATAGACTCCATATTTGATCTATATTTGCTTTTGCTTGATGTCACAACCACCGTAGTTCTCCTTTCTGCTGCTTGACTTCCTGTATGATTATGAAGATTGAGACCTGCATGCGTTTCCAATCCCGCACTATTACTAACACCACAGGCACCACTATAATCTACACTCGATGAAACACTATCGTCGCACTTGCCCTTAGCAGACAATTTTCTCAAACGCCTCATCAAAATACGTTTGATGTCCGATTAAAAACTCGCGTGTTTGTTGTTACTATTTTCTTATGCTGGAAAAATTATTTTTTTACTTTCTTTATAAATTTTCAATATATACGAGGTACCCTTCGAAGAAATTTTCTTAAAAATACTAATGCAAAATTTCTTTTCTTTCGTTTCAATGAATTTTCTTCACAAGTTTAAGAATTATCAACAGAGTTGCCAAAGCTATAATTTGCTTCTTAGATAATTGTGGCTTAAAATTATGTAGAAAAACGTACAAAGTTTTGACTTAAGTTACGTTTTCCACCACGTCTTGACTCTTACCGCATAAAATGTTTACTCGCTTACTAGACTAACATAGAAGCTGAATATATTGAAAGCAATGAGTGTGCCTAGACATTGTCAAGCATATCCGGCATTAAAAGCTTCACTTTTTATTAGGCTTTGACTGAATTAGCAAGTTAATAGGTAAACAAGCAAAATATATGTAAAATAAAAACAACGAAAGTTACAAGATGCTTTTGAAAACTTCTTTTTAAATCGTATTATTTAATATTTTCCTTTATATTATACGTTTTGAAGTTTTGATTTATAAAATAAACATATTTTGTCTTGTATATTATACCATTTTTCATTTGTATATTGTATTGTTTCACTAACCACTCAAAATGCTTATTTATTTTTATGTAAGTTGTCTTAATTTCATATTTTATATGTTGCTAGTTTACTTATTAAAGCGATCTTATTATTTTTATTTTTCAAACGATATGGTAAGCTACACAGTCGAGGCTTTTTATATGTACATTATTTCGGCCAGAGGTTTCAGCTATGTTAAATGCCCAACTTAACCGACAAAAGCGATTAAATTCTGTTAAAATGCAAAGCCGTCGGCAAAACAAAGGAAAACTTTGGGATATTTAGTAACTAATGTTTATTTATTTTTTATCCATAAATGTATGTTTTCATATAAAATTTCTTAATTTGTTCAATTTTACAAATTCTACAATTTATTTAGTATCTAATGTTCCTTTATTCTTTTTTATAAATGTATGTTTTCATATAAAATTTCTTAATTTCTTTCATTTTACAATATTATTTATTAATAAATGTATGTTTTCATATAAAATTTCTTAATTTCTTTTATTTTACAAGTTAGCGTGATAATTTTTGCCATCTTCGTCATCCTTTTAACGCAGAATTATTAAACTTATTAAACTGATTTGGATTAGATTTTTAAACGTCAGAAAATATTTGTGGCATTTTCCCTGTTACTTATAACTTTTTAAACTGTTTAATAATTTATTTAATTTTATTAAAGATCACCTTTACTTTACTTTTTTATTCTTGGCATTCATTTATTTCCTCTAAATAAATAATAATAAAAATAATAATAATAATAATTCTCTTCTGGCTGCAATTTTGTAATCGCCAGCTAGGTGATTAATAGAAAATATCTCTTATAGATTACCTTTCCGGAATATGATGCTGCGTAGCTGTTTTATTCCATTTTGATATTTCAGTAGTTCTTAACAGTTAAGGTAAAACATAAACAAAAATTATTAAAAATTAAAACAATAATTCAACTGATGTAAACATAATCAGAGGATTCTAGTTAAATAATGCAAATCATCCATAATGAAAACTTTCAAATAATAGCAATCGCTTGCACTCTAACCAGTACTTAAATTTAAATGTAAAATGCCTTCCAGTTAACTACTAACTGATAAAATAAATGTAAAAAGCAGCTGATACAGCAAATAACATATGAAAAATTAATAAAATGAAATTAGAAAATCATTCACAATACGCAACAACATCGATTACCATAAGTAAAAATTCAATCACAATATCAATTAATGTAATACATATTGGTGTAAAGCAAGTAATTTTAATTCTAGGTAAATGTGTCAGTATATTTTTTTAGTAAACATTCAGTTAAAATTCACATATCCGAAATGGTACCGTGTGTCGGTTTGGTCATCTTTTCCCATTTAAAAAAATTTTTCTTTTTTGAATAAAAACAGAAAGTGTCGCCCTAATACTCAATAAATTTATGACTAGGAGTTAAAATGGGAATCGGTTAAGCATTGTGCCCCATGTCGCTGAACCAACTAATCGCAACATATGCATTCCTGACCGTTAAAAACTGGCTATTACAGCACGTACAATCTAAACCATTTCCTTCTTGAGCCAAAATTTCATCAAAATATTTCAAAAATTCCGTCGTGTAGGTTGAAGAAAGTAAGAGAAACAAACGGACAGACAAGCTTAGATAGATTAGAAAATGATTCTGAATCGATCGGTATAAGAAAATATGATCCCTTAAACCTTCCTGGGTATTACGTACATTCGCATCTATTCGCATATCTATTTACCGTGAGTGGTATCGCATATGTTAACCAAAATCAGCTGTAAACGAAAGTAAAGTTATTATAAGTAATTACCGTCAGAGAATATTTCTATTTAATGGGGGGAAATACATTGTCGCTTATAAAATTTATAGAACCTTTGCTTGCAGCAAAATAAATAAAATCTAACATCAAATCTTATTAATAAGTAAATTAAATTTTTTCTCACTGTTAACGCTGTTCCATTTGAAATACGACCAAGCATTTGCAATTTATAATTTCAGCTTAAGCCGGCTTTATTTGGTAGTGTGGTAGTGGTAAGTGTGTGTATTTATGCATATGAAGACTGAAAATGTCGAATAATCGTTGGGAAATTGTCACTAACCCTAAAAGACAACTCAACTTGCAAAAACGAATCGACGCTCAGGCAACTAAGCGCAAAGAAACTGCTTTGCCCAAACTTGAGGGAATTTGTAAGTTTAAACTAATTGTAAATTCTCATTAACGTTGAGAATACTATTTAGCACTAATTGTAGCGTCCGTTCAGCTGTACAATAAACTAATCAAAAATTATACATATGACAACCAATTCCTTGTTAAAGATGCATCCAACGGATTGAAAAGCGGTAAGAAACAGCGCTATCAAAGCGAGGCCATTCTTGGGCATTCTCGGAAGGGCTTTGGATATAGTAGATTGAAAAGACTTTTAAGCAATCTGAAAATTGAGGAATTGGAAAAACATTTGGAATTTAATAAAAAAACATATCCTGATTCGAAATTAACTTGGTTAAAGGAAGTGCGTAAAAAAGAAATTGTAACTTTCGTATTAATTATGTTGATATAATTTGCAAAATAGTTAGCCACGTTTTTGAACGATCGTATAACCGGTGATTATGTTCCTGATTTCCCCATCAAATTTCCGATGTACCCAGCTAGTTTACTTTCGTTATCATATAGGGAAGCTCTTATCGAATTTTTGGGGTCTGTCGGTGAGACTAACCTTGATTATTTTTATCACTATACTCTTCTCGAAACCATGTGCACGAACATGAGCAACGATATGCCAGTATTAAGTATAAAGGTAAACCGAATTTTTTTCTTCTTTTATGACTTTTATTGCAAAGAATATATATTTATAGTTACTACTTCAGCTGGTGGGTCATAATTGGCCGCACATGTGTACAAGTAATCTGGCTAACACGGTCTTGCTGAGGAACTCGTATCAAAATCAATATGATATCTGCTTGAGCTTATTATGGGCAGTTAGCCAGTGCGGTTATGTGGACCTTAGCGAAGGCATCAGAAGTAAGTGTGTGTGCATCCAAAATCAATCAAAATTTTTAAAATGATTTCTTACAATAGTTTTTCAAAACGTTATGCTACCAATACTGGAAATGGATAAACATAGCTATTACATTTTGGCCTATATGGAGAACATATTAAAGCTAGACGCTGGGCAAGGGTGAGTAATTTTATATTATGTTGTTCTTTATAAACACTTAACCTTCGTATTTTATAACTTAGCTTATCTTTAAGCCGTCACGAATTCTTCACCACCTTAAATGCTTTCGTATCTCTTCTCAAGCTGGATACGGTTCACTCATGTAAATTAAATCATATTGCATCAACATTTTTGGTAAGTGTATCTTCGCAATCTTCCATAAAATATCTCTCATTAAAACTGTAAATTATCTAATTTAAGTATAAATTTATTACAAACTCCACCGAGCTCTCGAATATATTCCTACAACTAATTTGCGACCTTGGGAATGATGGTGATGATGATAATAATGATCTTGTATTGTACGGTTGTCGGCTTTGCTTGCAACTCAGTAGTGACGAGTGTCTTAAAGTATGGAAAATGAATTTAAAGAAACAAGTGTCTGCTACAAAGCTGTTATTGAAAAATTTAAGTAAGACAAACAATAAGCAAAATCAAAATAATTCCGATTGTGCGCGGTTAAGCGAACGCCGCAGCCTTAGAAAAAAGTAATGCGCTTAATCGTATTTGAAATTCTTTATACATATTTATACATATTGTACCATGCCATTTATTGATTGCTATTGATTTTTAATTGCGGAAATTCTGACTCTTTTCAGATGTCGCTTGCTCTAGTGTTACATTACCGATGCATTCTCTATTCGAAATTGAAGCTATTTCCCTGACTTTACCTGGTTATGAGCAAGACGAATTATTACCAATTATTAAGGTAAGCATTATTCATAGTATTGCAAATCAAAAATTGATCACTCGTAAGGAATTCAATTGCATATGGGTTAAGACGAAGTGAAAAAAAGGAAACCTAATTCTTTCGTCTCGCCACGAGTCTTAACATGTCGATCATGGTCTCTAATAAAGTGAAAATAACGTTCCATAACGATCTTTTGTTATTTTTAAAATAAAGAAAAAGTCCGCATATAATGGTTTAACTAAATATTGCTCTTTGAAGAAAAAATGTGGGTTACACTCAGCATTGGTTGGGCGAATATTACGTAACACTCCTCTATCGAAGAGAACAATTTATTGGCGGCTTACTGATTTTACACGAAGTCTTACAGGTTCCGGTGAATGTGAATGCGATGGATACCATAAAGGGAGTTAGTTACATTAGAAGCGCATCAAAAAAATTCTCAAATTATTCTCGGTAACGAAAACATGAGGTTGCAAGCGATAGCTGACATTCCAAAGATAGTGTATTCACTATTTTCCATGAAACTTTTGACATAAAGCCATGTGAGGACACCGGTGGAAATATTTCGGATAAAAAATATCCCTTGTTAATCTTGAATTTTTGTTGCAAAATTGAATTTTTTTTTGTATTCTCACTTTTGTTTTAAAGTAACTTTATTTTTTTCCAATTTTCTTCTAAATTAAAAACTATTCACAAACTCGCACTCATTAATTCCTAAGAAGGTTCGTTGACTTATCACGAAAGAATCGTTAGCAGTTTTTTTTGAATTTAATCACAAAGTGCCACAAATTGAAGAAGAAAGTATTTATTTGAAATCATATGTTGCACATATTCGGTCAATCCAGTCGTTTTTTTTTTTAAAAAGTCCTTCTCAACCCGATAATTTTCTTTTAAACAGCCTCCAAAATCCATTAAAGCAAAGAAATTCACAAAAAGAAGAAGAAGAATAAAAGTAAACTAGCAAAAAAAACTCAGTCTCAATCAAATTTTATTCTATTTTATTAATATATGCAATTTTTTTTACATATCTTTTAAATAAATTTTAGTTGTATTTATCGGAGATATCATGTGAAACCCAGAAAATTGTGATTTAATTGCAGCATCATTTGGGAAGCGAAGCAAGACTACATATAGTTTTCCTTGCGGGAAGAAGGAAAACGGAAAAAATTTTCAAAAGTTTGCCTTCGTTAATAGGAAACATTGTCTTTTCGACGCTAGCTTTCACATTGAAAATATGCTTCAGATTCTCCATAGCCGCGGGGCATGCTTTACGATCGATTGAAATGTCACTAGCTTTTGCTGCTAAAAGACGGCTACAGATAAATCTCATACCAAATGTTAGTTCTGCCATAAAATGTTCCAGTACTTCTTCTAGTATCAACTTGGAAACTGATAGTAAATTAAGTCGATCAGCATCCGGACTGACGTAACAGCAAAGTATTTAACGTAACTAGTGGCTGTAGAAAAATCATTTAAACTTGCGGTTAACGGCGTCGCCGGTATTTGTGATCAAGGCATATTCCTAAAGACTAAGGAAAATTAAAGTTGATTAGTTTTTGAATTTAAGAGCTTAGACTTCTTTAAGTAAACTTATGAAACCGAAGATCGAATCTATTTTCATTCTGATGTTTCGTATTGTAATTCGCAAATATTCGTGGTACGTTTTGAGAGTGTATATTTATAAAAAAAAGCATCAAATGATGAATTAGTTTCATCTATTAGTTTATGAATGTCCGCAGTTGCCTTAAAAATTGTATGATTTGTGAAACATTTTGCAGCTTCCTACTTTCTCTTTTGCGATTTCTCAAAAGACGCTGTGGATATTTTCGAGTGACCAAAAAAGAATTTTTCAACAAGTAATTCTAAGGCAAGAAGAGTAGTAATAGCGAGCTAAAGAAATAGCAAGATTAGCATTAGAATGCTTTTATAAGTCCGTAATTATACATTCTGAGCATCCTAACGTAAGTTTAAAATTGATTATTATTGTATTAGTTCTTTTTTATAAATGGCTTACAAAATTAGATCAGTTTTATGTATATATATGTAAACACGCATATCATCTCATAAAAAAACACATTCTCAAAAAAAATTTTTTTTAAATACATGTAGTACGCTTAATATTCTTTGCTGAAGGGGTTGCACTTCTTTGTACATACCAATGAAAATAAATTTTGAATGTGATTTAGATATATTTTTCAATAATCGTACGAAAGGCATTCTCAATAAATTTCTGCGAAACTTGTTAAGCATGAAGTTAAAAATATGCGAATAAGCTTCATATAAAGCATGCAACCTTGTGTTAAGTTTAAACAAGTCTGATTTATTTAAAATTTTTGCAAAACGAATTGAAAGCGCTAAAATGATATTACTTAAGAAAACAACTTCGAAGGTAGTTTTTAGTACTCTGCTATAATTCGCTCGTCATAAAGTTTTTTTACTGTTCACGTTGGAAGTGCGGCAAAACATTTGTTCGGTCGAAAAACCTTAATTCAACCAAGTATAAAGTTTTTTGTTAACTAAAAAGTAAGAAAATGAGTACTGTGTAAATTTCCAAAAAAAAAAAAAGAAAAAACGATGATAAGCAATTGTGCAACGTGTTTAAAAAATTTGTTATATGAGTTTTCCAGTTGAAGTGAACTCTGCAAAAGTAGTAGAAATTGAGCGCAGAAGAAATATTAGAAAACGTAATATTAAATATTGTTTATATATGAAGCTGAGGACATCTTATTTCCAATTTAGCGAATCAATATCAAAGTTGCATTGTTTTATACTAGAACTTTATGTATTACCTCAGAAGGGTTTGACATGTATATCTATTCTTATTTTCCTTTACTATCTCCCTTTTGATTTGTTTTTACCAGAGTCACCTTTCGCTCAGGTATACATTTAGCATTCCTGATAAACCATTAAAGTAAAACGTGTGTAACAAATAATTATGACATTAATAGACTCAATGACTGATAGCATGCATGCATTAATATATTCTAGCAAAATTAATATAAAAAAACCAACAACTTTTAATATATAAGCAAATTTGATAAACCAAGATGTCCATATTTGGTAAAGGTAGGGTCGTTATCCTTTGACAGAGAAAGGAAGCAACCAGAAATTTGAATATTTCAAAGGATAATTCAATATTAAGGCAACATTCTTAAAGTGATTCTCCGTTGAGCTTCATTAACCTATCTTCGAAGGTTATGGAGGAACTTTGAAAGTACTTTTGTGTACGTATACAAAATAATCGGTCAAATGTGTTAATTCGCACAAATTTTAAATGTTATCATTGTATTGTGTCTAAAAGCTAGCCAGAGGAGCTTAACTTGAAATAAATTCAATTTTGCCCAGATAACACAAATGGTTTCTTTAAAGCGTCGCTTTCTTAGAGAATGCTTCATTTTATACATACATTTGTGTGTATATGGATACATACGACATCTTTCATTTGATGCATTGAAAATGCTTTGCTTATTGTTTTCTCTACTATCTGTCGCTCGCTTTCTTTCTTCTTAATTAATTTAAAATTAAATCATTAAAATTTTATTATCTTCTGTTGCGCTATTACCGCCAAAATATCTCTCAACTGTGACTATTTCTGCACAAGTGTAATTATTGCATATACATGAATGCTACCGCGGTATTGTTACCAACGTATAATTCAACTTAAGACACTTTGCATCTTCTGAATTTACTCTGTGATCATAGGTTTTCAGTCAACCAATTATTTTTATTATCTCAATTCTTATTATCCTCTCACTCGATGGTACATGCGCGAGGGCACACACAGTGTCTGTTGATTTATATTTCAAGAAAAGAAATTATTTGCTGCTGCTCTATGTTCGAGCATTATTTTGATAATGTCTAGCGATTAATTCGTTAGATAAGAAGATTTCGCCATATAAGAAGATTTGTAAGATGACCTGCCATTCATTGTGAGACAGGGTATGCTTAAGAGATGCTTTTCATTAAGGGGCGTATTTAAGTCACCTAATCATTTTTGGTCAAAAATGATAGCATTCCTACTTTGACGCTTATGTTAGTTTGTTTTGTAAGCAAGCCTTGCATTCATGAAGAGGTGTTTAGTAAAAACCTAGTGATAGCGAACTTGTTTGACTGAGATGTATATTTACGAGAGACTTCGTGACTTTTTTTCAGGTTCTACTTTTTAAAGGGCCATAAATATGACATGGTTTACCCGAGTCGATTTAGAAGACAGCAAAATCGTGATAAAGTTTAATGGTTTTTGCTTTGCGAGGCCCATTTGAGTTTTCAAAGCATTTATATTTTATCTCTGCCTCTACCTTGGTTCGCAGTATGTTATGAACGGTAAACCCAGATCGCTTAAGTATGATGAGATACATTTCAGAATACAACTAAAATTTAAATATGAACAAGAATTGAAAATTCCGGAGGCTAATATATATCAATATATATATATATATATATATATTATAAGAACGAAAGGTATATTTTACATAAGAGGCTGCAAGTAGCCGCAACATTCACTTTTAAGTTTTCGAAGGGGGGATTTTTAAGAATTTAAATGCTTTATTTCCTCCTTTTTTGCCATATTTTATAGGGCTTAAATTGTGGATAGAAAAAATAAAATGACCGTAACGAACTTTAGTGACCGTGTACAAAACGATGTAATTTCGAGATTGTTTCGATTATATATCTTCTTTGAATTTACTGTTAAGTCTGCAAGAGTGCCAAAGTTATTTCACTTCTTTCATTTCTTTTTCCTATCTTCTTCAGTTTTGAATAAATAATTGTTCAGTTTCGAATCGTTCATTTAGATTTTCGCTTTTGCTTGTTGCTGTCAGAATCCACAAGGAACTTTAGTTTCTTTTCAGAATCTAACGGTGCATTACGTCTGTTGAAAACTTCGCATCGAAAGTTTGAAACGTACTTATTTGTTGGACAATGCCTGAGCTCTTAATATGTTAAATACTTATCGAGGAAGCAGATCAAGCTGTTGGTTTCATCTACACTTTTAATTTTATTATATATGTACGTAGATAGGGATAGTAGATGTTTCGGATCTAAATATCATTTTTTTTTCTGTGGTTTGTTGAGATTATGTGGCTTATATGACCATGCGAAAAATTCTGGAAAAATTTTAAAGTAAAAAATCATCTTTTATGGCCATTTTCACCTATGGTGACAGTTCTGTAAATATCCTATCAAAAACATTAAAGTGTACGTTATGTTCGGCTAAAGTTGATGATTTTCACTACCATTTTTTTATTGTTATTATTTGTGCTCTCTGTAAAAGATTGTTTTCAGGCTTTTCCGAAAATCGCTTCTAAGAGTCGAATGTAAACAAAAATTCTCCTCGTAGACAAGTATGTTGTTATTTTATGTGCACACGTGCTTTTATCTCCATTTCATGCCGGCCGGCATTCGTTTCTTAATAGTGCTTTTCACACAGAGACATGCTGCTACATCAAAATTTTTAAATCTTTTAGAAAGTTGACACTTAAATGCAATACATGTTCGTTTACTTTGTTGTCTGTTTAGACATTATAAACACATTATGTTGTATATATTTTGAAATGCGCGAGTGAAAGAAGGAATCAGCTGATTGCGGCGTGCTTTGCTTCGTTAAACTTAGAATCAAAAAAATCAATATAATTTCATTCGTATGTTCTAAAGGTGAAAAATTTGTTATAATTTACCTGGCTCTCCTTGCAAAGAGAGTTATCTATGACAGAAGCCTAATAAGTACAATTAATTGTTTATGGTTAGAGAAAAAGTACATATTGTTTTTTAAAACATTGTTACAAATTTTATTTATTTGCTATTTTAATAAACTTGTTACGAAGAGTGGTTTCCAAACATTTAATAAATCGATTTTAAGGTCTACTTTCTACGACTCAGCCTAGGACTTTACATATAATCGTTGTTTAGCACTATTTTCCCATTCATTATTAAAGTGAGGAAATTTAGAAAAAGGAATATTTCTTCAAGTTTCCGAAAAAACAGCAGATGTAATTAGAAAGGTTCTTCGAACGTCGATCGAGATAGACGGCAAGAAAGCAGGAGGCTTATGAACGAAGACTTTCAATCACGTATGAGAAATTTAATTTTCACTTTCGTATTCAGCAAAAACTGTGAAGTAATCACATGAAAAACGTAGCTTTGGTTGTTTTATTCAGCTACTTGGTAAAAAGGAGTGAAAATAAAAGCGAAAGCCAACTTTCAGCTTCGTGTTTACCCCCAGCTGGTTAGCTAACTATACATTACGTAACTACGCGTCCAGAACTGTGCTTTATGTGCATCGGACATTTTGTTTTGACATTCTCTTCTTATTGCAACAACATTTTTATCATTAATTGTTTTGCTTGCTTCAATAGAGAAATTTTAAATTAATTTAAAAGTAAAATGAAAGAAGTTAGTTCAGTTGTCGAGACTAACTAATATTTATTTTAGTATTAACATGAGATGAGGTGCAAAAGTTTTAGTAATTGCTTGCAATGCTCGACCTGACCCGTTTTTTTAATTTCCAAAATAAGTTTAAAGACGACCTTTGGCAACCCTGGTTGTACATTTGTGGTATCATCGTTAAAACTAAGTTTATTTCATAATTAATATTTTGATGTTTATCTTTTGATATAGTTCGTCGTCATTGTTGTTCTCTTACTTTTTTTTTTAATAATTAAAAACAAAATTATTTTGTTGAAAATTAAAAATAAATTTAAATTATAAAAATTATAAAGAATGGCACAAAATTCCAAGAGCAATAAAAATAAACAATATAAACAACAGCAATCTAGCAAAAAGGTAAGATGTTAATAATAAATATGGTTTCAGTCAATTTACTTGGGGGATTTAATAATGAAATAAGTTTTAACTTGTATGTTTCAGAGTTTGCAGGAGAAAACCTCAAATCCAAAAAAGGGAAAGCAAAGCATGCATCAAAAGAAAAAGAGCGGAGGTTGCCGTAAATGGGCATTGGGTAGCTTAATATTAATTATCACAATTATCGGTGTTTTACTTTACGATACTGAGGTAAACGGTAAGGGTGTTTTTGCCAAATCATCTGTGGGCAAAGTACTGGAAAATGCCGGCGTATTGCCATCTGTGGAGAAAGCTTGGTATACTACAATGAGTGCTGCAGCTCGGGCTTATAAGTGGACTGAAAGCAAAACTATTCCTTATTCTAAACCATTTTTAAAAATGTCTTGTGATTTATTCAAAATGTTACGCAATGCCTTCTGCAATATCTTCAGCATGCTCAAGAATATAATGAATGCTAGACTGCCACAGGCTGCGGAGTTTGTAAGTAAATTTTCCTTTTTTCTCGTGCTTTTGCATTAAAAAAGAGTTAAATTTTTTCTTCTAATAAATACACAGTTGGATCAGTACGTACCCGGTTTGTCTAAAAAGATTGAAAATACTGCAGAATCTGTAAAACGGTTTTCGTTTGAATTTTATGCTAAAGTGGGAGAATTCTTCATGACTCAAGTTTTAATGTAAGCTTTTAATTCTTTTTCATTATTTTTATACATAGTAAAATCATTTCTAATCTTTGTATTGTAGTGGTCGTCTTTCGCCACAAAATTTGAGTAAAACTTTAAATCACACGCAAAATCTAGCTTTGGAATACTATCAAACATTCCATAAAAAGGTAGATGCTTACGCTAAACTGAAATGATTTGCTGGATTACAACAAAACAATCAAAACATCACAGCAATAACATATGCGTTAGAAAAACAACAACCGATACAGCATTTGTAAAAAAAAAAAAAAGTAAAGTGAAGAAAGTAGGTAAGGAGTTTAAAAACCCTTAAATAACAGCAAACTACAAATCAAACATATATCACGAGCAGAGTTTAAATGTTGTAAAAAAAAGAAAAACTATGTAATTCTAGCTGTAAAGAAGAAAAAATGCACCAACTAATGACATTAGTATGCTAGATATTTAGCATATCCGGGATGCGGTAAACATAAAAAGAGGCGCCAGTCGAGACTCTTCTTTTTTGATTTATACCAAGCATTCCTTTAATAAAAATTTTATATATATGTAATGTGAATATTAAGGCAAACAAGATGAAAAGTAAACAATTGTAATAGTCAAGTCGTAGAATTTTGTTGATTGATTTTAAACACACATGGAAAAAAGAAAACTATAAAACTATTTCTCAATACCTTTTAAGTATAAAATGATAAGTTTCAAAGATGGTAATATTATAAATATAAAGCAAAAACACGAAGAATATGTTGTTTGCGGCGGTTTTTTACTGCGATATCCATTTTCTTACTTTTTGATTTAAAATAATTGTGTTTTGTTAAATACGTAAATAATGTTAATTTATTTGATAATTTACACAGAGTAACAAAACAAAGACTTTTGTACATTTATCTTTTAGTGTTGCTGTCGCCTAACATCACCGAAATGATAGATTTTAAATTCCATTTTAAATAGCTTCTCAAACATATTTTACTCAAACTTTATTTTGCTATATATTTATATTCTATGCTTACTCTTCTACAGTACATTCGATGTGACCTTTTTTCACAGAACCACTCATAAAAGAGAGTCCAGTTGGTATTTTAAGCAATTTTTTGAATTTCTGTCATTTTGCTTTTTCGTTGTAATATTGAAAGTTTTTTTCTTTAAATAAAATTTGTATGAAAAATAAATTTTAAATAGTTATTATCAAATTGTGGAATAACCTCAAACGTTTATTTACTTGACAACTTAATAATGCGGATCTTGTTCAACAGGTAGGATAAAGTATCTCTTGATTGGAAGTTCCAGCTATTTGTCCTGCTAGAGTAAAGCATGGCCGTGGAGTAGAATTTTTTTTCTTATTTGACTTAGAAGAATAGCTCTTCTCAAAATTATTGCACGCTAAGGAGCCACGAAATGTGGATCATCTTTAGAAATTTCATAAACAGGAATCATTGACTTCTATTGATGCGAACTGAGAACTTTTAACATTGATTGACTTAGAAGAACAGCTCTCCTCAAAATTATTGCATAGGCCATGAAATGTAGGTCATTTACTCAACGACGCACTCTAATTTTTACGTGCCAAAATGGACAAATTCGGCCATGCCCACATAAAGTTACAAGTGATTAGATGTTATTTTTTCACTTTTTCGAGGTTTTAGTCTTATTTGTCATAAGTCAAATAAGATAGAATGTTTAAAACTATTTTGTACATTCCTTACATTCCTTAAATGAAGATGTACTATCTGCCTAAAAATGGATTAATTCTAAAATGAATATTTTAGACACCGCGACCTATTGGATTAATTTTTTCTTAATAATATCAGCGATAAGGGTATTAAATTAAAACACTTGGAGAGTAGAATGCGAAAAGTATAGTAGTAGGTACTCGAGATTCGGCAACGAAATGTATTGTACCATCCTTCAACCTGAAGCCTAGTTTCAATATTTAGCGGACCGGACCAGCGGAAATGAACTGGAGTTGCAAATGCACATCTCAGACATCTTTTAACGAAGGATATATTGCTAAACTCCAATAGCGATTAACAAAAGGACGAGTTGTTAAGAGCAACCACATTCTACCACTCGCATATCGCTCCATGTTGACATTTTTAATTTTTCACTGTCTTTGTCACCCAGAGGGACGCGGAGCCTTGCGATGATCTTGCTTCCGTATCAAACTTTGTAGCATTGGATGATTTCAGCATCCGTCGAGTACAACTGTCTTACTTGTTTCCTTTCGAAGTTTTAACTAGATTGATGATCCAAAGTGTATAAGTATCGTGGATTGGGTGAAAGTAGGATGATCTCTAGCAACCAACACTCTATCGGCTCTTTTTTTCAAGGTAGATTAAATGGTCAAATGATTCAGCAGCTTTAATAAGGTCAAATATTTTATTGATATTAGGTTGTCGATGTATTTTCAAAATGTTCATATATCTGACTTCAGTTGGTTTTGGTATATATTATTGTTATGTAATTATAATAGATCTACCGTAAAGTTCTGTCCGTTTTTAGAATAAAATAAAAGCCTAATTTCCGAATATGGCTCAAAATGATTTCTTGATGGATAGAAAGAATTTTGCTCTAACATGATCCTGAAAGAATTGGTTTATATTTCTATTAAAATAATTAAATTTTTTTTTTAAATTGGTAAAAAAAACAATGGCCACACAAGTTGAATCTATGGAGTTGAATCGGGCTGGACTTCTCCAGTTCTCCAGTGTTTTCTTCTAATGAGCTAGCGGTTCCCAGCCGCAACGCGATTTCTGTATCGCACGTTATTTCTACAACGACGCCAGAAATGATTAAGGAGTATGTGAAGCGGGGTATGCCGGGGGTGGATATGTCTCGTAGAAGTTTCTTTTTCCATCCTATATATAAATTTAAACTTAAAAATTATTTGCGACTATTTATAAACATTCACATAATTCCCATGTTAAGTTGCTTTTATAATTCGTCATGCTTCTCTCTTTCATTTGATTTTCTCCTTTCGAACTCTACCACCACGAATATGGTTGCCGATTAAAGACGGTCAGTCAGTACGAATGTATTCCGTAAACCAAAACCAAAATGCATCAAATGAACTTGCGGATACTTGTTGGAATTCATTGTAACCGGACAAAACGGACAAAACCTTTCGTAGGACCTACTACATAGAAATGCGACTATAAGAAATACTCGTAAAGAGCATTAAACTTCAATTGACATAGAAGCATAACACAACGTCTACATCTTATATAGACGCATGTACCAGTGAGAAGTGGACTTTTGTTTCGGTTTCCAGTTAAACAAAATAATTTTACTGTTTCACAAATTTTTGTGTTTATTTTTTATTTTTATAATTAAACTTAATTTAAAATTGTTTAACGCTTTACATGTAGTTTGAAAATTATATAAAAAGTGTTTTTTTCTATGTAAAGCAAGTGTGTAAATTTAAATTTATATTGCAACAAAGTCAGATAATTAAGAAAGAAAAATAAATTGTTTACATTGGAATATTTTTGCAAGAAATGTATCTGAAACGAAGCTTGGAATGGAGGAGGGGAGGGGGGGAAGAGAGTAAAAAAAAATAAGCATTGACAAATTATGGTAAAAAATAAAGTCAAGCAAAGGAAGAGAACCAGTAGTATTTAAAAAACTAATGAATCTTCAATGACTTATAAATTATACACACACAAAAACAAGGAAGCTTTTAAAGTAATTTATAATTAAACACATGCATCCCTATTGCAGTTATGCTATAATAAATGGAATTAAATCGAATATTCAATTCCCTTTGCACTCCAAATACATGGGCCATTGTTGCTGTAATAAGGTAACGCTACTTTTTTTTTCATTTCGCAATTGTTATTAAAATTGTTGTTTGAAAATTTTTGCGAAATATATCAGATTAGATAAGCTTCCCTATGCATCTGCCCATTGAAATTCCTTGATGAGCTTCATTTAGGACATGTTTTCAAATGGAACTCGCTTTAATACAGAACTCAGTTGTGTCTTTTCCAATATAGAGAACTTATACCCTGAACATTGTTTAAAAAGCCATTCTCTCTCATTGCGTGTGAAGGAGTTTTGTGTCTCTTTAATAGATAACATTTGATGAAGATTTAAAAGCCTAGCATTGGTTGTGAGATGGACAACTCTATTAAAGCTAGATCGAAGGTTTGTTTGTTAAAGTCAATCTTAGATCACTGTTTAAAGTGGATTGGGCCACTGTTACAGTCTTGAAAAAAAGAGGCGTTTTGGCAATTTTGTCTGGAGGGTGGAAAAGGGAATAAAATAATAATAATTGTGCAGGTACAACTCTAGAGGTTATTAAGCGTATGTAGAAAAAAAATTATCTTCGAAACATATTTTAAAATAGCAACGTCGGGATCATCCTCGTTAGGTATTATCAATGTAATGGGCTCTCTGCGCCCTGGTCTACGTTGGTTTGAATTTGACTTAGAACAAAAATTATTTAATCAACATGCTTATGGCTGGATTTTTCCCACGCAAGCATTGCGAGATCAGTTACCAAATATATGAAGACAATGCGCCTTAAAGGTGAATTTGACTGATGGTGAGAAAGTGAAATTGAAACAAACGAAAATTGAGGGATTCATCCTTGTGCCGTTTTTGGAAGCCGTGTTTCGAGTAAAACGCATTTGCAGTATTAAGAGCCATATAATTATGTTAAAAAACTGAAGTCTCTTTCATGGCTTCTATTGTCATTCTAAGCCATTTAAGGGATCATTGGTGTCAATCCAAAAAACATTGATTTCTTGCAAAATTTACAGTGGCCCACCTACCCTATTAACAGTCCTAATTAGGAATGTTTTCAATTCCTCTCTGAGCCAAGTAAGGGATTATTAATTAGTAGACTTTCATGTATCGATTGTATGGTTATTATCGTATTCTCTCAATTCCTTTTGATAATTAAAAAAGCACTGTGATGTATAAATGCTTGCATTGTTATTCCTTTATGCGCAATGATGATGGGTTTTATTACAATCCTCGCAATGATGAAATTCATTTTAATTTTCAAGCACAGTTTTCAGCTAGACTGCTAGAGTACCAGCTTTCAAACAATTAGAGATGTTCTAGAAGCTTCCGGCATATCAATCATACCAATTACACACGTGTTGTCACATATCCCAAACTGTCTTCGCTAGTTCTAAGAACGTTTGTAAAACTTATCAATACTAGCTCTGTAGCGTACTCTTGGAATAGGTGCATAACTCTTATTATCTTGTATATAATTGCTTTAGATTTTTTATGCGTAGGTTTCTTAGTCTTCTGCCAAATGACCGGAAGGATCATCAAAAGCAATACGCCTTAATTTCTTAATTTTCTCATAAGCATCCTGATCTTGCGCATTTATTTTCATACGCATGTACAGGTTTGCTGAAAAGCTTAAGGGACGCCTCTTACTTAGGCTATTACTATTAAAATCGGTTCTTCGATTCTCGAACTCTGTTCTTCAATTCTTTTCAGGCTTGCACAAATATACTAAGAAATTCCAATATAGTGTTATATATATATATATGTATATATGTACTGTAACTGTATCGCGGATATTACATCACTAAATTTTATTACAAAAAATCTTAATAAATATCCCTATGTACTATGTATGTAGTGGTTGCAATGCGATTATTAAAAATGTAATCAAATAATTTTTTTAGTTTTTATGCGTTTTTTTCTTTATGCCTATATGAGTTTCTTTCCTTTTAGATGTGTGTATGTAAATTACCGTATTACAATAATATCATATACATGTATAGATTTATAAGTGCATGTATGTAAATGTGTTTTTCCCGTTTCTAAATCTATAATATTATTTTTCTTTTTATCTTTCATTAGAAATTTATCTTTTGAAGAGAAATTCTTTCATATGATTATGTATGTGGTTGCCTTGTTTTTTCTCTTTCATTCAATGATTTTTATTTGCGTGAGAATAAAAAAGCATAACTAAATAATACATATCTTAAGCGTGAATTTAATAATTTTTGATTTTTGCTTTCAATTTTTATATTATAAATTATATATTAATTATACGCGTAGGTAATCAATCACACAAATTGAAACTAAACACTGACACTAAAGCTTAATTACTTATATCGAAAAAAAAAAAAAAATAAAAAAGGAATAAAATAAAAACACAATCGCTATCATCCGCTTAAAATCTGCATTGCTTTTCACGTCCTCTTGATTGAGTTTATTGTTTATTGAAAAATTGCAGCACGTTGCTGAAACAATAAACGTCGATTAGCTTTCTCCTCCTCTTGGCGGCGGCGTTCTTCTTGTTCTTGTCTGATTTCGTCATGGAATTTATTTGTGCGCAGCTGTTGTTCAATTTTAGCCTCAAAGAAATTTTTCGCACCACTTACGCCCACTTCTTCAACATTGATTTCGGTGAGACGTGCTAATTGCTTGAGCCCGGACTCGTTTTCCAATTCGCCTGCTTGCGCTTTACGATAGATGAGAAGGAATTCACGAAATGAAATTTTACCGTCATTATCTTCGTCGACTTCTTGAATCATCTGCTTTAGGCCCAAATGCGTTTGTGGAGCGCCGAGCTTCTCCATCATATATTTAAGTTCTGTTAAATCCAAATAGCCATCACGACCGATATCGTACCTGGAATAAAAAAAATTCAACATCATTTTTAAAGTTTTCTTCTTTAAAAATTCGTGTAAAAAAAAATGTTGAGAAAATTCAAAATTCGATAAACCTTTTTTTTAATATTGCTTTTAATGTAAACTTTCGTATCAGCAGTGAACAGCCTGACAACTCAATGATTGGCTTTATTTGCCAATAATTAACAGTATTCAGGAATAAAACACTAAAGTTTTGCAGCTTTGTAAGTGAAAGAGTAGCTCTATTTTCATACCCTACACCGCATGTACAGTACAAGATGTGTATGCGGACGTAGGCAACAACCACTTGGGATAGACTCACCTTTTATTATACCGATCGATTCAGAGTCACTTTCTGAATCGATTTAAGCTTGTCTGTCCATCTGTCCGTCTTATTCTCTGTTGTTCAACCTACCGGCCGCGACTTTTGGGATGTCTTGGTGAAATTTGGTACATTCACGTTTTTTGGCTCTAGAACGAACTCTATTGAAAATAGTTCGGAACGGATCACTTTTTCGATCATTTCCCTTACTATAAACTTATTTTGAAAGGCCGTTATAAGAATAATTGTAAGGTGATGTACATGGCCGATTATAACGTATTACGTTTAACGTGTTGTATCCAACCCAGATCTCGCTGAGTGTGCAAATTAAGCGCGTGTGGGGTTTGTAAGAGAAAGACTAGTTCTGTTTTTAAGCTCTAAACGCAGTTTTTTCTTAGCTTTGAAGAAATCCACAAAAAAAAAAAGCGTTTGCTTGTTCTGGTTAATTCGAGAAAAGCACGAATGTATTGTCATTAGTCATGGAAACTGGGGATGCGTTGCAAAGATAGTTTGAAGCACAAAAATCACGGTAGGAGCCATGCGAAACATTAACTGCGAGCGGCAAATCCAAAGCATTCCGTTCCTCGAGTAGGTAGAAAAAAAATTAAGTCCTTGGTAAGGCGATTCAGCACCTAACGGTTAAAATGTTATATTTAGCAGGAAAAGTAAAAAGCATCTTGATGATCATGAATCTTTGAGACCATTCGGGAAAAGTTGCTGACTGATTAGCTGTTATATGATGAATTCACGTAAAGTTTCAAAGCCATCTTCAGCGTTTTACTCTCTGCTGTGCCAGTTATTACAAATGTGCTTCGTTTTTTGAAGCCCTTCAGTCTTTCGAGCTCAAAATGGGCGCCTTGTTCGGTGTTTGTTTTCACACTAAAGCAAGAGGCTCCCAACAAAGTCATAATTTGTCTTCTACATATCCAATTGTAGTGCACGTCCGAAATGAAAGATCTACCTTTTATCTTCATTGATGAAAGATGGATGTGGATAGTTTTGAGAACATCACAAGCACATCTGCTATACTTTGCTTGCTTCCAATTTCGGGAATTTTACACTCTCTTGTAGGGCTTAGCCAAGCCGTAGGTTACTACCTCAAGTGTTTCTGTTTTGATGACGTCAGGAATGTGTAGATGTACATGAATAGGTAGTCTTAAAATGCTTGTAATAAACAGTTGTCGGTATGCATCATTTTTATCTTTTTGGCGGCAAAAGTTTCAACTGAGTTCTGAGTTGCGAAAGTTTCTAATATGTCGGGCTTGCTTTGAAGTATAAAAATTTCTTAATATTGAAGGTAATCACCGATTGCAACAATACTCCGATCCAGAATTAATGCACTGCACTATGCGTAACCTGCAGGATTTTACTCTGTTGTTCATCGCTATTGGCAGAATTGCTTTGAGTTTACTTTTTGGCTGACACGTGTTTTAGGGCAAGGGTTCATGCTCGCCGCTTGCCTTATTCTTCGATCCTTAAATTTTATTCAACATTCAGTTTCATTACACTTTCAAATAGTATTCATTTAGATGCATCTGTTTCATCATGCAGAACTCATTTATTTCTGTGAGGTCATAAATATCGGAACTCACATAATAAAGATTTCATTTCATATCTCTCTGCGGTTAGTAACGCATTAGCCTCTGCCAAAGTCTTTGTCAGCTGGTTTTGAAAGTGATAGTAAGAAGCCGGTTCTAATACGCGGTACATATACAACGCTTTTCATGTCTAAACTGCACTCTTCTTTCCTGACAACAATCTGTAAAAAATCATCACATGGACTTTTCATGGTATCGTTTTTCGCAATATGGCTTTTGCCAAACTCTAATTGGCGAGTTTTGCATTCCACCATTCGGCCAAGTCTTGAAAAAATAGTAGGTTGATAGTAATGTGCCTTTCGATGTATGTGGTAGCTTTTTCATTCGTTTTTGGATGACGCTTGGGTCCATCTAAACATCCTAGAAGGTAGTTTTTATTTTTAAATAAAACAGCGGGCATCTATGATGTGATGGCTTTTTGCATTGAAGGGTTCTATGGTTAGGAAGTAAATCAAGAGACATTTCATTAAGCAGACGACCGCATAGAAAGGAAAAGGACTCGTTATATAGATTTATTGTGCAATTAGTTGTGGTTATCGTGTCTTATTAAATTTGTTTAGTGAAATTGAAAGTGTAGGGGAACTGGTTTCTCTAATGGAAAGCAATTATCGTTATGTTTCCCTTTTTTTTGTTTCTTTTTTTCGCTACTTGTAAGACTCTTTCTTAATGAAAATGAAAATATGTAAGTAATAGAAGGAATGCGCTACTTGTCTACTTGTCTAACGCAAGCATGCACACATGCATTCTTATGCGTTTAAAATTACAAGTTTATGCAACATTTACGATAATGCCTACGTCTGCGATTCAAATCAGTACATTGTTGTTCGGCGAATTGTTACAGGCGCAAAGTGAAAAAAGAAATGAAGAAGAAAAAATATGTATTACATTGGCCATGGCCTTAAACGTTAGCATGTTGCATGTTGTATCTTCCTTTGCTGTGTGTTGTTAGCAATGCGAAGCATCAATTCAATAGAAAACATGATAAAGAAAAAAAAAAAAAAGAAAAAATAAATAAATAAAAACTGCGAGAAACAAGTTTTTCTAGTCCTCCAGTTGATTTTTATTTCCATCGTTCAGATTTGAAAGTATACTAAGTTTACCAGTATGTTTGTACGCTCTAGCCACTCTTGAGGCTTGAATCAACTAAATAAAGAAATATGTTAAGTCCAAACGAACTTCTTGTTTTTTTTTTTTTTTATTGTTATATAACATGGAGAGTGCGGATTTGCATCGTTCTAATGCGGATGTTCATATGCTAAACCTTAACGTTTCGGGATTAACTCTGTAGAACGAGATTCTGAGAAAGTGCTTAGTGAAGAGACTGATACGAAGACCACTACTGGCGATATTGGGATCGATCGGCCAAGATATGCGCCTATCGTCAGCGATAGCCCCGTACCACTGTGGTTTCTTTAGTTGGGATTCTTGAAGAGAATTTATGTCTGCTTGTCTATCAATAAAGCATGAAGCGCATATTATCCACGTTAGTTCCTTTGTGGCATACATTTGAAAGTCTCACAAAGTACATACATACATCTTAGCCAATAGGCTATTCTTCGTTCTGCCCACGTTTCTGTTACACACTTTTGGTTCCTGGTTCCTGTACCAACTTTGAAATTGTTGCACATGATTCTATTTCGTGCATTAGAAAAGTTTCAGAAAACACACTTTAACGTCCTGCTTTACTGCTGTAAATATAGCCAGGGAATGCCGCCTATTCGTGTAACAGACTGGGGCGTAGGGAAAAGCGAGGAAACATAAAGAGATGGGTAGTTGGTGGCCGAAGACGAGTGTTATGCCTTTACAGCGACTGAGTGCTCACTGTACCCACGACCGAAGTAAACTCTACCGCAACTGAGATTTGTCAGTCGCGATATTGACCTAAAAGTCCGGAGGAGACACAAGTCTCTTTGATAAACCCACAATTAGAAGATATTGTTGGAAATGTGATTGGTTTCCATGATTCGGCGAAAGCTAAATAAAACTTTCCCACATGATTTTGTTTTTTTTGTCATATTTTTTGAGCATGAAGGTGAAGGCGATTGTAAAAACCTGATATTGCAAAGCACTCGCACAGCTATTCTGCCAACCAGTTACTAACGATACATACGTAATTCTTATGAATCCTTCACTGAGAGTGTATGCAACTTGGCGTGCTTTACTGAGTTCATTTTATCGGATTTGAGACTACCTGTGGCCAAGTTTTTTTTTTGTGTTTATTTTGTTTTAGTAAACTTGTTTTTTTTAAGCCTAATATTGCGTGTTTTTTTTTTTATTATTATTATTATTATTATTATTATTACTCTTCAAGACGCATTAAAATTGCAAAGTTTGGCTCGTGTTATTGCGATTTGGCGTTGCTGGGTGTGTTCACATGCCTGCAGTTATAAATATTTATAGGTACGTAACGTACGTATAGTTAGTTCGTCTTGCATTTCAAGATCATGAAATCATATTTAATTTTAATGTTTTTTTTTTTTTTTTTTTTTTTTTATACTCATCAGTCTTTTAACACCTATTCATGTACATTTTTAAGAAAAAGTTTTGTTTCTCGTTTCCTTAGCCCAGTAGGAAAAGCATTCGCGTGTAGGTTTCAATACGGAAGTAAATGAATTGTTTTTTCCTTAATTTACATGAAATAAACCAGAAAGCGCATAGAAAAATCCTCAAATACAATACTCGGGGTATAGAGGGGCATTTTTGCTTGCTTAGGGAAATTCAAGTTGATTTAAGCGGAAATTAAAGTTATGACCTTTTATTTAGCGAGGTGATCTATTGATCTCGTGACCGTCGAAAAAGGTTTACTGTTCCCTTTACGGTTTAGGTTTAGATGGGAGTGTAAAGATATAGTTATATAGAACTCGGCAATGCTTTTAAATTAATTGTAAATTTTAGATATTTGTTGTGAATAGCTGTGTATTTTGAAGAGCGATGGAAATCGTTTATAACTTTTATCCGTGCCGTTGAAAGCGGTCTCTTAAGTACTTCTATTGCAACTTTGATCTTTCCTTGTCAAGTTCTACAACCTTGAGAATTCCAACGGGACATGGATGGCTGATGAAGATTGGGTCGGGCATAGCT